CCGATAACTGAACGCGGGAAGGCTTGTGGAGAAAAGAGTATATTTTCTGAGGGGTGGTTAACCCTAACTTTGAGCTTTTAAGGAATGTTTTCTTCTCGACAGTCATGAAACTGCGTTTTCGTATAACTTCAAACTCCATTCGTGTGTGACGATGACAAAAAGTCGAAAAGTGTCCGTGGAGGAATGGATATGCGGGATAGTTATATTGCATTATATTATTATACATTGTGATCGGATTTGTTGTAGATATTTTTTTAAATTTCTTTATAAGACTTCGGAAAACTGTTTTTTTTTTTTTTTTATGCCGTTCATATATTATTACATCTGTACCTATACTTGTATTATAGTGTTCTACCAATGTATTATATTGGTGCAAAAAATAACTACCTATGAGATACAATTTAAATAACTGTACGCGTAACGTGTATATTATAATATATCTGTTATTCAGCAGAGTCGCAGTCACACCTGGCTTTAATACCATTATCGATTCATCTAAAGTTATGATTATATGTCATCCCGAATAGTTCAAAAACTCATTATTTTTTAAGATCGATGTAGGTAAGGAATAATAAAAAAAAAAAAAATCGGTTTAATAAGCAAATAACAATCAAATAATTGTGAATGATTACCACATGCATGTAGGGCATGTATTATTACATACCGTGTAGGTATAATGGGGTTTGTGCCCCGTCGGCTCATTCGCCGAACGTTATTTAGGGAAGATCTACTACTTGCTAACTATTTTCTTTTGTCCGTTGGCTAGCATTAACGTTTCCCCTTTGATTTCACAATTCATTACAGTCAACCCGAATTGCATCCCAAGTAGGTATAAGTCAAATGTATCTTTTTAGTTTTTGGAATGAATCGCGCGTATAGGGGATGTGCTACTATAGTCGAGTTATTCACTATGTAAACAATAAAGTAACTAATATTTAATCCGCTGCTGCAGTATTGGGAAGACAGAGTAACACTGGGAGCACTGTCGACGCCAGTCGTACTGATGGTTAGGTGCCCCCCCCCCTTACGTGGAGTCGGGATACTATATTATCAGCTTGTATGTATTTTAACGACATATCGTATACGTTTTGCATTAAGTTAAGTTAATTAAAATTTATTTGATAATATTAGTAGAAATTGTACTTGCCTACGCGTAGGAATACAGTTAGGTATACGTATACCTGCAGCGTATACAATTTCGATAACATAATTAATTTATTAGAAAAAGTAAAATAACCAATATAAAACTACATATATATATCTATATATCTATATGTATACACCGAATCGGAAAGTACAAATATTGTTTCCACCACAGCGCTTTGGGTATATTACCATACATACCATCGTAATATTAGTAATAATATTAGGTAATTAAATTTTGTTCTTTCAATTGTGTACACTATAATAATTAATAATAATTCAATATTTTTAATTTAAAATACAATTAGAAAATGATGAAAAAATTAAAAATCACACAATGAAAACTTAAGGAACAAAACTAAAATCAATAGTAGTTTTATTACATTTTAAAGTTTAAAATTTAAATATCAACCAGAATCTAACAGAGCCATCTTTATAATGTCATGTTGGTTTTTTTTTAGTAAGATGCATAACATCACGATTTACTCAAACACTGAGGTCGGCAGTTTGCAATAAATTGCACTTGTATTGGAAACATAATATATAGGTACTTATCTACCATAATACCGTATTATTATGGAGTGCAGAGTATATATACCTATTATAAGCAAACAAATAGATCATTGTCATTATTTAATATAAACCTGAAACAATAAATAATAATATCATAAATATTATGTATATATAAGTCTGAATTGTTCGTAGTATATAGTTATGTTCTATATACACACGACCCATGTGTTTTAAATTTTTTAATGTTATGTACTTAAAGGTGTTAGCCATGTGTGATGTGTCACGCATTTACAAAACGCACAAATAATACTCTTTCCAGCAAACAACTTAATCTTAACAAAACGTCATACATATAGTATGTGGTACTATATAAATACCGCATTTTAATATTTATAAAGATAATATTCTTCAATATTTGTTAGATGTTTTTAAAAGTCACAATTTTAAATGACCCTGCCAATTTTTTATAACTCGACCTGCTTCATATAAAATACCAATTTATGTCAATTTATGACAATTTTTGAATGTATTGTAATATAATATTTAAAATAGAAGTATAGATACAAATATAAATAGTTGATTAAACGTTGGATGGAATTTAAAATGCGAATAATCCTAATAATAATACCTAATCCGATATTATATATACATAAACAAAAAGTTCGGTATTTGTTTCTAAAATATATATAATATAAATTATATTATTTACATGTATAGATTAGTTATTAGTAGTCTAGTAGACTCTTACTTTTTAGAGCTATATAATAACGGCTTAAAAATCCTTAAAAAAAGGTACAGGATTTTTAATTTTAAAAATTATTAATTTATTGTAATATAAATTACATAATAATTAAATAATATATGTTAAGATTTTCAAAATTACTGCAAATTTGTTTTCATGATTATCTGTAAATTTAATAAGTCCACAGTTTAAATAGATCACCTTCAAAAAAAAAAAATGAAACAACAATAATTTATCTATATTATACCCTGAGATCTAATTTATACTATTATTGTTAATAATTAAAATACGATGTATGTCTACTTACTCAATAGCCTTTTATTTTTTTAACGAGCCAGTGTTGTACTCATATTTTATTGTAGACTGTATATAGTAGTACATCTTACATAGTTTAAAGCTCTTAAATTGCTTAAAATATAACCAATAAAGGAAAAAACCATAAATTATCCCAAAAAATGTTTAATAAATGTTTTTACAAATCTCATTTTATATACCTGATAATGCTGTGTTTTAAACAGGAAAAAAATAGAGTTTTATACTTCACTATCTGTAGACGCTATAGACTGCAAGCAAAATTATATTGAAAATAATATATTGGTAAATTTTACACTAATTACTAATTTTTTTATACAATTACATGACGTATTTTCTCATCCCGTTTTTCCCACCGAGTAGGAATATTAAAATTATTTCAATCTTACTACTGCAGTATAATATACTATATTATTAATATAGGTATATAGGAAGAAACAGATCTCAAAAAAACTCATCTAGGAACTGTCCAATGACTTCCTCAGGGCCGGCTCTAGACAAGATGTATACATAGGCAAAATCAAAATTTGCCGCCCTTTCATTTTTGATCCATCTATTTACCCCTTGCCCCCCCCCCCATATCCTCAAACATATTTACGTCTACTTCGGGCTTAAGTCGCAGTATACCTATACGTTATAGTCATAATTTATAATTCACAAAAAAATATTTTTATTCAACTATAGAAATATAAATAGTAGACATTTTTGTTGAAATTGAAATACATTAAACTTAAAAAAAATTTAAAGTGGTATAATAAAGAATCCAACATTTTTAATATTTATATAAATTTTATTTTTCTGGCTTTTAATGTTGCAAACTCTTCTATTATTTCTTCCATGTCCAATTTGTTTGATACATCCTTTTCAATAGAAAGAACTGCCAGACCAACTAAACGCATTTGACATATTTGGGACCGCAAATAGTTTTTAATAATTTTCAATTTTTGAAAATGATCTTTCGGCACTAGCTGCAGTTATAGGTAATGTCAGTAAGATCTTAAGGGCTGTGACCAGGTTAGGAAAAAGCTCCACCATTTTCCTTTTACATATGTATTCCAAAACCTTGCGTGGATCACTTTTTTCAGTCCTTCAACATCTTTTAAATGCGATAATTTCTTGATGTAATTCTACAGCACTAATATCTGTGTTTAAACCGTCGTTAGAAGTGAGAGAAAGTTGTAGATCCTTGCAGTGTTTTAACAACCCATTTTCATCTTCAATTATTGATATGTTATATACAGGGCTCGAAATGGACCGGAACGCACCGGAACGCAGTTCCGGTTCACGACAAAAAAATTTTTAGCGTTCCGGTTCGTAAAAAAAATACGTTTATCGTTCCGGTTCAAACAAATTTTTACTGTCACCTAAAAACCAAAACGAGTTTAAAAAAATGCTGCTATTTCATTAGAAGTACAAATTTTGAAAATTGGTAGAATTTTGTCAGTTCGATGGGTAGCATCAAGCAAACGGACAGTTAATGCAGTCTTAAATAATTTGTGTGAACATTTCAACTTGGCTTCAATGGACCCTACCAGAGACTCTAATGAAAGAAGTAAATACTGTGGATTGTTTAAAATGATAACAAGTATAGAATTTGTTAGTAATTTAAATACCATGTCTGATGCTTTAGACGAATTAGGAGATTTATCAGAATATTTACAAAAACGTAGTATTACGTTAGTAGACGCTGATAAATCTATAAGAACAACAATACGTGTATTAGATTCTATGGCAACCGATCCGGGTCCAAAACTAACTGACGCATTAAAAGAAATAAAGAACAAAATGTCGTATAAAAATGTAATATTACACAGTGGCAAAGTTCCTAAAATAAATTCTGCACAATTTTACAAAAGCCTAGCTAATAATTTAAAATCTCGAATGATGACTTCCAGTTCATCAAATGTCAGTCGTAATGAAAAAAATCGCCAAGACAATGAAAAAACGTTTAAAAACTTACTTGATAATATTGAAAAATTGAATCCAAAAAATTGGCCACTTTCGAATGATGGTAAAAATATATTTAAATTTTTAAAAGGGCTGAAAATATAATGTGAGTTTCATAAAATAATAGACACAACTTATTTATTATTAAAAAAGGGTTAGTAATTTTGTTGGGTGAAGCCCCCAATTCTATGGTATGTACTCAAAAAAAAGCGTTCCGGTTCAGAAAATTTTCCATTTCGAGCACTGGTTATATAAGAACGTAAATAAACTGTTATGCTTAGATAGCTTATCCAATCTTTCAATTACTGACTGAATACCTGTATCCAAAACTTGATAAAAAAAATTAACTTTGAAGTGAATTTTTGGATCGGGAAATCGCCTTACGTCTCGATCTTTGTAAACTATCAAATTTGTCATCAATTCCAACTTTTTTAGCAACTTCCTTTGCAGTTTTTAATGTTTTTTTAAAACCTTCTTCAGAACGATAATCTTCCAATAACTTTTTTGTGATGTTTAATTGGTTAGTAGCTTCTGATAGATCAAGCGAGGGTGATTGGAGAAGTTTGCTCGAAATATTAATTTCATCACACATCACAAATTTAAAGTCGGATATTTTTTTTTAAATTCCTTGGGCTTCAGAACGACTTTTCGACCACCGCGACTTCGTCATTTCGGGGAAAAATCAATTAATGTTATACGTTATCTACATTTTATTTCGGTGTATTATACATTTGTACTTTTAAATAAACCGTCCCAACCAAAAATAAATTTATTTAATTTATATTAAATAAATCATTGGTATTTTAAAAACGGTTTTTGGTTTTTGCGTTAGCCTAAGTAGCAACATATTTATGTTATTCTAAATACGGTCCTTCCTACTATCAAGGAAATGCCGCCTCTTCCATAATGCCGCCCCAGGCATAGGCCTGTGTTGCCTGTGCCTTCCGCCGGCCCTGGACTTCCTATTTTACTTATTACAATGTATCATGAATAATTATACACATTTTTCCTTCTCTTGGCTAGCTAAACTTCAGCTATTACTAAAACTGATTGAAGTCTCGTTGTATGTTTTTGTATTATATAACTGCAGTATAAAGTATAATACATATTTTATACACACTTATAAACGCGTAAATATATAAGGACACAGCTATATAGGCTATTTAATTACTAATTATTACTCGTGATGATGTTATCACTGCACCGGTTAAATTTCAGTCGGAACACGCCATATATGGCATAATATATGGCATAATATACATTTTTTACACGTACCTATATATTATCTTATTATTATCCAAAGTTTAAAAAAAAACACACATAGGTATTATACCATTATGTCATTGATTAGATTTAAGCGTATACGCGTAACCAATACGCACTGCAGACCAACTTATATTATATATATATAAACGTTCACGGTGTTCGTATGTATAATAATAATAATGTAGGTCAGTTTTTAGGACGTGCGTGATGAGCCAAAATAATATATAATAGCCACGCGGCTGACATCAAAACGCGACGATAAAGAAAATCACATGTACAATGGTAAACACTGGCTATGGGTTACGTCTAATGCTCGTTTGTGTGTCAATCGGACAAATATAATAGTACGGTATATACATATCGTCGTCGATGTATACATGTATACTATAATATATTATTGTATCGTTTGAAGTGCAGGAAGCCGACGGAGGCGTATCGGTCCCGCGGACTTGTCGTCGGTGTAAATCCGGGCACGCACTCCACGACACACGTCGTCGTCGTCGTCGTGTGTCAAAAGATGTGTCTTGTCACGGGCAGCAAAGACTTTGTCCATCATAACTCCTGGCCATAATGGGCGTAAAGCGTGATATCAATACCGCAGCACGAGCAAGTATATATATTGTATTATGTATCATAAAATAACGTCATATATCGATTATAGGTACAGAGTATAATAACATAATAATAATAATAATAATAATAGTTGTAGTGACTGGTGAGTAACTAAGTACTAACAACAGCAGCAGCAGCAGCAGCTGCTGCAGCTGATGTACAATAAAAATATCAACACACACAGCATCGGTTGTCCGTCGAGAAGAATTATTGTGTGTGTGTGTGTGTGAGAACGCATTTGACGATATAACATTATTGTTAAGCGCGTATAACATGTACGTGACCTGTTGGTACGTAGCCAAGTTTCGGTCGGATTTTAATGGTCGTAATGAATGGGAGTGTATATTAAAATGTGTGTGTGAGTGAGAGAGAGAGACACACACAGAAAGGTAATAAGACATGCATGTGTATAGAAGGATTGCAGTGTTATGAGAATGCGGCTAAAACGACGCTATATATATTATTATAAAATATTATTGTGTATAGTGTGTGAGTATATATACTAATATATGAGATCCGAAATCGATAAACGGTAGACACCGATAAAAATAATGTAAATTATATATATAATTTATATGAGAAATAGCTGTTGGCCGATAATAAGCAGGTTTACCGACGGCGACTTCTATCGCACTATATAATAATATGTATAACTATTATATACCTACTTACTACTTACATTTGTTGCCACATAAAATGCGTTCATCATGATCAAAGACGGCACTTTGTGTTATTGTTTAATTCGAATTAAAAGTAGGCTGCAGGTAGGGTACTATTTGAAACGGCCCCGAATTTTTTTTCAACATTATAATTATTACCTATATCCCTTTCAAAGTGTGTTGACTTTTTTCTAGAAATTTAGAAAAGTTAATATATTAAAATATTATGGACTAGGTATATATATTACTTATGCAGTTCTTAAATTTTATATGTATCCTGCAACTTTCTCACGCTCGTGTTGGTCGGCGCAACTTTTTTTCATCCTTACGATGTATTGGCATGTCTATATTTTATTGTTCATACATTATATTGATATAATTACTCATGTTAATTTCGTGTGACTGATTTCAAGTGCGATTTGCACCTACGATAGCGCTTTAAATTGTTAATAATATATCTACTATATAATATTATAATAATATGTTTTTACTCCGTCGAAACCCCTTCCCGCGTTCAGCCGTGTACATGCATGGTGTACACACATTAATTAATTATAATAATATTGTCGGTAGACGGGAGCAAACACGTTTTTTAAAAATTTTTTATTAAAAGTAAATATTATTATTGTATATATTTTTGCGTCGGCCGCCTATACGCTGCGGCAGACAACGCGCACGCGGTTTACGTTTGTCGACCATAAATCTTCGACCTCCTGTTGCACCGATCCACGCGCGTTGAGTGACGCAGGAAGTATTAAAATAATATCTATAGAGTATATTCATCGTCGGTCGGCGGTAAATCATCGATTGTCCGCGAGAAGTCGTCCAACTCACTATAATATTATATTATATGAACAACAACAACAATAATACACCGGTATAATATACCTACTGCAATATTATATGAAGATAATCTCCATCATCCGTTTGGCTGTTTTTTTTTTTGGATTTCGACTGAAAAATATAATATGCGTCGATTCCGAACATCTCGTCATTGTCTATTTCCCGAGACGAGCGTCACCGGCTATATTATCTAATGCAGCTCAACGTATATTTCGAACGTATATTATATGGTTTGTATTTGTTGTATATTGTATTCGAACATCCTCATAACACATTAAATTATAGATATTAACACAATATTATGATTAATTTCAAACACCAGCAATTTTTTTTAATCGATGTCATTATTATAACAATAGGATATATCTGTTTTAGATTCTGAGCTGAGCGATGAACGCGTATTGATTTTACAATAATGAGTGGTTTTTTTTCAGTGTGTCAGTCATCACCTTTTGAGACAGTAAAAATGCTTCGATTTTCTACTTCAGATTATTTTCATCTTTTCTGGTAGGAAAGTTAAACTAGTTGGTACTTTGTGGTACTAAAAGTAAAAAGAATTTCCAATAGTTTTCAAAAGCGTCGGGGTAAACAAAAAAAATAATTAAGAAAAAACGAAAACTTTTGACAAAATCGGTTTTGATTTATTTTAGTTAAACTCTAAGAACAATGTAGATAGGTACCTACATGTAATTTTCACTAAATGTTTATATAGCACTTTTATACACCAGAACATTTTCTTCTGTACTGTTTGACATACCTGTACAGCTGCAGTGGCGGATCTAGGGTTACATTTTTTTTTTTTGGGGGGGGGGCTGGGGGCAAAAGTACAAGAAGTTCCAAAATTGGCTAAACACAGTGTAAAACAAAGTAAAACTATTTGCCCCCTTTGCCCTCCCCCTGGATCCGCCACTGACGGCTGTACGTTCTGAAAAATAAGTATTGGTAACGGTAGCTCGGCGTTTAAAAAGTTTAAGCCCAGAAAATAATATGTTTCAAATTGTTCATTGAATAATTTATCAAATATACTTTAAGTGCTTATTGTAATGTTTAAACATATTCTATCCTCAGAAAAATAGGATTTAAATTGTTATTTTCAAAATCTAAATACCTATGACTGGGGTGAAGGTGCTTGCATATTAACTCTGGTAAATCACGTTTTAATATGGACCGTTTCAGAGTCCTCAATATAATATATTCCAAGGTACTGCTAGAAATTTCCTCGACGCAAGTCGTGTTCAGGGAGTGTGGGATGTGATGATCTCTACTATTTCCGGTCGCCTGCCCGGATATACTGTATCGACCTTCACCCCTTATATCTTGTCAACCTCATAATTCATAATTGTATGCATCTGCGTTATCTTGAAAATTATATTAATGGTCCCTGAACAGTATTGTTTTTTCAAATACTTATCTATTGCTTTTATTCTAAACTGTATATTATACTATTATAATGTTTACTTAAGTCTCGTGGGGACTTAACTAGAGGGGTTGAATCTATGGAATTTAAATTTTAAACCAATACTTTGAAAAAAAAAGATCCTCACCCAGTCATAATAAATGTATAATAATTAAAAGTCTTAAATATATAATATTACAATACGTTAATATTATTATGGTCAATGGTAGGTACTCCTGCAGTATTGTTTCGCCTGCAGAAACGCAGTCATATTATAATTTTATATTTTAATTATGGCTGCTGCAGTCGTCATACACTATTTATATATGTACATCGTATTATAATATTTTAATACCGCACAATGTTAATATATCATATGGACACATAATATATAAGACATCGGACGGCCGACGATTAATTACCATCAGATGCGGTTTACCCCTTTTTTCCAGGGTCCCCGGTACGCACACATTTTATTTCGCGTTCAATGCACATACCACAACCACGTTTGCGTCACATACACACACACACACACACATACTAATGACAACCGGTGCACGTGTGTTTTTACGTAAAATATATCATACATAATATTATTATATGTTAGAGAGACGTAATAATTAACGACATTAAAACCCGGCCAGGGGTCCGTGGTTGCCTGTTGCAGTGCACCGCAGCAGCGTATACGGACAAATTTGCAGAGTCGAGTTTGACAAGGTTTTCGCGACGGGTTGTCGATTTTACATTTTTTTTTTTAGGCCCAGTTATCGGCTCATCATCGGGTGACCACGATACCCGGCCGACGAGAGCCCAGAA